AGAGAAGCCTGGTGGGCTGCAGTACATGGGGTCACAAAGAGTCCGACACAACTAAAGCAACTTAGCATCACACACCTCTTAATCCTCTTCCCCCTTCCTACTGGTAACTACTATTGTGTCCTCTATATCTGTGAGTCTGTGTCTTTTTTATCTACTAGATGATTACTTTTTTAAGATTCCACAGGTAACTGATATTATACTATTTGCCTTTCTCTGTCTGACTTATTTCACTTAGCATAGTGCCTTCCAAGTCCATCAGTGTTGCTGCAGATGGCAACATTTCTTTTTTAATGGCTGAGTAGTGTTCCTTTGTGTATATATGGACATTTGTTGATAGATACTTCTTTCTCCATTCATTTGTTGATAGACACCTAGGTTGCCTCCATATCTTAACAATTGTAAGTAATGCTGCTATGAACATTGGGGTGCATATATCCTTTCAAATTAGTGTTCTTGTTTTTTTCAGACATATACACAGGAGTAGAATTGCTGAAAGACCACAAAGAACCAAAACAAACTTGAGAAAGAAGAACAGAGCTGGATAAATCATGCTGCCCAATTTAGTTCACTTTTCAATTCATTGAATATAATAGTTTTGCTAACCTTTTCACTTTTTCATGTTGTAACAGTTTTTAAAAATTCTAATTCCAAATACATGTAAGTCATCTAAGATATGGTGTAGTGTGTCTGTCATTTGCAGGGGTTTTTTTTGTTTTTTTTTTTTTTAATCCCAGAAGAGTTTACCACATTTCTAGATCTTAAAAGATGCTAATATAATGATAGTAGTTGAACAGATATGTAAATGAATAGAGAGAATGATAATAGTTTATGGTACCTAAAATTGAGATAAAATAGTATTATAATCTGGGCTTCCAAGGTGGTTTAGTGGTAAAGAATCCACCTGCCAATGCAGGAGATGCAGGGTTGATCCCTGGGTTGGGAAGAATCTCTGGAGGAGGAAATGGCAACCCACTTCAGTATTCTTGCCTGGTGAAATCCCATAGACAGAGGAGCCTGGCAGGCTACCGTCCATGGGGTCACAAAAGAGTTGGACACAACTTGGTGACTAACAAGTATTATAATCTGAAAGTTAAGAAGGGGTTCTGATACCAAATCCTTGTTGCACTGTCTAATGACTGAGTGACTTGGCCAAGTGTCCTAAATGATTTGTGCCTCAATCTCCTATACTGAAGAGATTGAAAAAAAATAATAACACTTCCCTCACAGAGCATTTGTGATGATTAAATGAGAGAATACCTAGAAAGGAACTTAATATAGTACTGACAGTTCAGAAATGCTAGTGATAAGGAAGAGAAGAAGGTGGAGGAGGAACATAAGGAGATTGCTGAAGTAGAGATCCCATAGATTCAAGTTAGTGTATGTACTTTTAAATTTTCTTACTGCAGTGATTTATTCAGTAAGTATCCATACTTACGTGTGCCTAGTCACTCGGTCATGTCCGACTCTTTGTGACCGCGTGGACTGTAGCCCACCAGGCTCCTCTGTCCATGTGGATTCTCCAGGCAAGAATACTGGAGTGGGTTGCCATGCCCTCCTCCAGTGGATCTTCCCAATCTAGGGATCGAGCCCAGGTCTCCCGCATTGCAGGCCGATTCTTTACCGTCTGAGCCACAGGGAAGCCATTTGGTAAAAGGAACTGAGTTACATGATCTATAGTACCTTCTACCTTTCTAGGAATAAATAAAGCTCCTTTCAGTGTGATAATAAAAACATCATTAAGATAACATGAGTCTCCTCCATAAGACATTTATTGTTAAATATAATTATCATTCTCACTTTAGTGGGAAATCTTTTGGCATATAGATAAGCCAGTAAAGATTATTACACCAGAAAAGAAAAAATGCTAAACTATGTCAATTAGAGAGTCAAGAAAAACCACAGTGGTGTATTTTCTTTTGTACTTGGGAATAACTTCCTATTTCATGTTCATGTGTCTGTAGTTTTCAGCCTCTGACCAATCTTAGAATCACTAAATTAAAGTGATTATGAACATTTTCCATCACATACTTTGCCCAAGTTTTAAAACACTGTTTATGTTTTTGAAGTATTTTTGCCCTGAGAAAGATTATGAGGAAATTGGTGTATTTAGGTGAATATTTTATGAAGATAATACTGTTGGGTTGGTTAAAAAGTTTATTCTGGTTTTTCCATAAGATGTTACAGAAAAAAACAAACAAACAAACTTTTTGGCCAAGCCAATAGTAATATGTTCTAGTAATTAGATTAGTAACTATAAGCATATACAACTGTTCAAATTCATATAAATAAAAGTGTTGAGATAGTTGACATTTAACACTGTGTAAGTTTAAGGTGTGCAATGCAGTAATTTTTGATATACTTTTGTATTGATATGACTAATGCATTAAGGTTAGTTGTCACACCCTTCACCTCACATGGTTACAATTTTTTTGGCAGAGGGCTTAGTAAGAACATTTGAGATCTACTCTCTTGGCAGCTTTCAAGTATATAGTACAGTATTGTAGACCACATTCATCCATCCTGCTGGGAAAGAAAAGGAATGGGATTACTGATGAGCCTTTTCCACATCTCCTCCTAACTCTGCCACCACCATCATCGACAACTTTTCATCTGGTCTCTTGTAGAAAAGGACTGAGTATTAACCTTCTTCTCTGCTTACACGCTTTGGCATCTACTCTATCTCTACATATCAGCCAGAGAGACCATATCACATCACTCCTCTCTCAATAAAAATAAGAATGCATCCCATTCCCCAGTAAAATTCATCCTTTTCACAATGTCCTACCATCTAGACGTTACCTGGGAATATTCTTTCCCCTCCCTCACTCTGCTTCTGCCATACTGGCTTTTTTGTTTTACTAGGAGCACACCAACTCATTCCTTCCTAGAAACTTTCCCTCTAAACCTTCCATGCAAGGCTCTCCTATTATTTAGGCTCAGTTAAAATGCCATCTCTTAAGGAATACCTTTGCTAACCACAGAGTATTTTTTTAAATGAATACATTTTCACTTTGGCAGTTATTTAAAGAAATCACAACTGAGTTTAGGATATCCCCTTGAGAAATATGTACTATCATCTAAAAAATGACAAATTCTTTGTTGACAATTGCTTGGCATTACTTAGTATTTTCCTATAGAATTTCTCTTCTTTCATGGTGCAGTTTGGGCACACACTGTTAGTTCCAGCTACCACAACAGAATACCTCACACTGGGTGGCTTATAAGTCAAGGTCACAAAAATTTCTTCCTGACAGTTCTGGAGGCCGGGAAGTCTAACATCAAAGCACCAGCAGATTCAGTGTCTAGGGAGGGCTAGATTTCCTGGTTCACCACCAACCATCTTCTCACTGTAACTTTACATGGTGAAAGGGATTGTCTCTAGGGTCTCTAAGAAGAGTCCTGATCCTTTTGTTGAGGGCTCTGCCCTCAACCTAATCACTTCCCAAAGACCCCATCTCCTAATACCATCATATTGATGTGCTTACTGTCCTCAGTCACTCAGTTCTGTCCAACTCTTTGCAACCCCACGGACTGTAGCCCACTACACTCCTCTGTCCATGGGCTTTTCCAGGCAAGACAACTACTGGAGTGGGTTGCCATCTCCTTCTCCAGGGGATTTTCCAGACCCAGGGATTGAACCCGAGTCTCCTGTGTCTCCTGCTTTGTGGGCGGACTTTTTACATGCTGAGCCGTTGGGGAATGGGAGTTAGGATTTTACCATACGAGTTTGGGAGAGACATGGACCTTCCATTCACAGCACTGACTATTCCAATAGAGTTATGACCTGTGCATAGAAAGCAGCCATCTCTCAGAGGAGGTAAAGTGCATCTTGTCCAGCTGTCCTGTCCTAGTAGTACCAATGCTTAGACTCCTGCAATGGTGTTAGGTAGGATGTTTGTTCTATTACTACATCACAATTCACTAAAGACTAATGGACAACTAAAAAATGCATGTGATATGCTGACTCTTTTTACATACACACATGGAGAAGTGAGTGGTTAAGAAAAATTTCACAAATAACTAAAAAGGTCATAAAGTAGAATAGACATTCCCAAGGCCACAGTCGCCCTCCTGGTGAGTTATAGTATATCTCTTAGAAGCAAGAGACTTCTCTTTTAGAATTGAAGAGGTTTAGTTCTGTGGTACACAGCATGCCACAGGGATTATGTATGCATGCTAAATCTTTCCAGTTGTGTCTGACTCCTGCCGCCTCACAGACTAGCCCGCCAGACGCTTCTGTCCGCGGGACTCTCAGGCAAGAAAGAATGTGTGTTAGTTGCACAGTTGTGTCTGACTCTTTGCGACCCCATGGACTGTAGCCCACCAGGCTCTTCAGTCCATGGAATTCCCCAGGCAAGAATACTGGAGTGGGTTGCCATTTCCTTCTCCAGGGGATCTTCCTGACTGAGGGATCAAACCTAGGTCTCCTGCATTTCAGGCAGATTCTTTACCATCTGAGCTACAGGGAAGTCTGAAGAATTGGGACTTTCCCAGTATTCCCAAGCAAGAATACTGAAGTGGATTGCCATGCCCTCCTGGATCTTCCTGACTCAGGGATCTAATCCACATCTCTTTTGTCTCTTGGATTGGCAGGCGGGTTCTTTACCGCTGGAGCCACATGGGAAGCCCACGAGGATTATAACTCTGGTTAATTGCCGTATTTACATGTGTCAAGATCTTTAGGGCACTCCACAGTTCGCTTGAATCTCCCAAGTGGCCAAATGCCTCGTGAGCTAAACCTTTTAGAAAATAAAACCATACCACCTGCCAGGAAGATTTTATAGAGATACATTTATGGTTTTGACAGCCATATGGAGAAGGTGACTATACTTCGGGGTTCGTTTTCATTGCGTGATATCCAGTATGAGGAACAAAGCCTGTTATTCTCTGTATTTTATTGGTTCTATGTCATACTCTTTCCAGAAAAGTTTTTCATCCATATTTTCCAGATGCCTGCTATAAGCCCTCTGACAAACTCTGTTTCTGCTTGACTATTTCAGCACTTTTATGTAATGGAAAATTTCATAAACACTTGCAAGAAATCTTTGTGCCCTTGGTGGTCCGCTACGTGGATCTCATGGAGTCCTCCATCGCTCAGTCAATTCACAGAGGTTTTGAGCAAGAGACATGGCAGCCTGTCAAGTAGGTATCTTGCGTTAGTGTCCACAGAGCCCCTGTCTCTTCTCTCCTGCCCTGATGACCTTACACATGGCCATCTGTAGTTATTGCTTATGGTGGTCCCTTCCCACGTTGTTTGTTTCTTTACAGGAATATCGCCAACAGTCTTCCCAATGTAGCTCTTCCAAAAGTTCCAAGTCTGCCTCTTAATCTTCCACAGATTCCTAGCTTTTCTACTCCTTCGTGGATGGCTTCTTTATATGAGTCCACGTGTGTATCCCTCACTTCTTTCCTGGTGGTGTGTTAGCTGGTGCATGGCCTGGGCTGTGTTCTGTGCAAATGTGTTTACATTGCATGGCATTTATCATCATTGGTTGAGGAATACTATGTTTTGGTTTTATTTGTTTGAGTTTTTGAAGCTATTAAGCTAAGCTTAGCATATCGATGATACATAATATAGATTTTTTTTTTTTTAATACTCCTAGCGTTGATGTTCATATGTGATCTGTGGGGCAGGGTCATTTTGTGACCTAGGTTGTGACTCTAGTCTAAGTGATATAACCGGAGTTTTCCATATTCAGGCAAGCAGTGTGGTTAGCGCTGTGTATGTCCAGGATCCTTTGTTGGCTCCAGTTGTGTGATTTATCTTATCTGTGTAGAAAAACCTTTGTAAGAACAGCTTTAAGAACACAATCTTTTCCTGCTTTTATCTTAGTCTCACCTTTAAAGAACCAATAATGCAGGTTGCAGAGGAGGGTTTGTCCTTTGTTCCTCAGTACCAGCAAGTCTTCTTTTGTCCTTTCATGTACCGTTTGTTGCATCTTGTTATTTTAAAATAACCTTTATATCATTACAAACCATATTTATTAACTCCAGATTGTCACAAGCCTCCCTATTGCAGATTTGGTAGATGAGAGTCATTAAAGTGAAAAGGACATGAGCTTTGAAATCTATCAGCTTTACATTTAGATCCTTATTCATCATTAACTTAGCTTATTCATCCTTAAGTCTTCCTTAACCAGTTTCCTCAACTCTAAAATGGTTATTACATCTAATTTAAAGATGTTTTGGGGAGGATTTAAAAAAAAAAAAAAACTGTGAAAAGAGCCTGGCACAGCCTAGGGTCTCCATAAATGATAACTACTATGTAACTACAATCTACATTATGAGTGTTATTACCATAATTATTATTACATTATCACCAGTCATCATTATTACCCATAACTGGATGGTTTCCAAAAGTTTGAGCCTCACGAAAATGAAATGAACTCAGTAATAGCCCATGCTTTGCACAAGATCTCATATGAAGTCAGCTAGAAAAAGGAATAATTCGAAGAAAATTAGCTACCGTTAATTGAGATAGAGGGCCAAATTCTTTTTCTTGGTTAAGCCTTGTGACAACCCTGTGAGGTAAATATCACTTTCCCCTTTTTCCAGTTAAGGAAACTAAGTCACCAAGAAGTTAAAAGGCAGAACTGGCCCGGGTCTCCCAGTCAGCAAATGACAGGCTTTGAACCCACATTTGTATAAATCATCTTAATAGATGCTCCTCCAAATCTCTCCCTGTCTATAAAATTCTGGCTTTTTTAGCTCTAGGAGTAAATGCCAGTAAGGTAAGTTTACTGCTGGCATTTTCAGGAAATTATCTCAGACTCCATTTTTCACATTTGGATTTTTTAACCTGTGATTGATACATTTAGGGATAGGTCACTAATCAGAAGTAATATTAAAATGAAAAAGCTATGAATAAATTGCAGGTTATACATGCCAGCTTGAGAGAAAACCTATTTACATTTTTCATCTATTTAATTGTAACAAACACTTGTTACCTTAATTACATTCCCAATTAAGTGTATATATCATTTAGAATCATTCTGTAACAGAATCAAAGAACAAAAAACATATATCCATATTCTCTATAAAGATTTATTTGTCACATATGAGAAAGTCCATTTTTATTAGAATTCTACCTTTACTATTTGGGATTTTGTCGTAATGGTGGGTTTTGTTGCTATTGTTTTGTTGAAAAATTATAAGAAATAAATTTGCTTCCTTGTCAATTACATTCAATTACTCTTAAAACATAGTTCTTCTAATCTACCAAAGTGGACACTGTAAGTGTATCAGAGGATTTTTCTTCATGATTTTTTTCACTTATTTTTATTATATAAGTAGCAAAATGAAGAATTAAATATAGTGTTTTCTCAAACTTTTTTTTACAGCAGTGTCAGTATGGTTCTCTGGTTCTTTTGTTTAATGATACTTTTGGGGCACTGAATATAAAGGTTTGGAGACAGTAAGTGAAGAAAGTGCTGTGGGTAATGTTCACTGCTTTGCTGTGATTGCTCCCTTGAGAATTTAACTCTGAGGACATCTTGGCTCGATGAGGAGATCATGAGGAATTACTGGCAGAATGGGAGGAGGAGAGCAGGGTAGATTGGTGATGTAGCTGAGATGCTGAGGCAGTGGGGGAGCAAGGGCATAGAAATAAGCCTTTAATTAGCCAGAGCAGGAGGTGATTGTTTTTAAGCTGACTAATTAAGATGTGTTTAGCTAAACAATGTGGTTATTTAAAAGAATTTTTTTAATAAAAATTTTCTGCCACGCCCTTGTGATAAATTAGTTTATCTTAAATTTTTTCTTTTACAAACCTGAAATATAAATTTTAGGTTAGTATATGTTAAATGTTGGAAAGCTAAGCAGAAGTAAATCAATACAGCAGTTGCTGTTTCTTTTTCTTTTGTTCTCTTTTATAATTAAGTTTCAGTACACATAGGACTGTTAATTTTCAAATCATCTCTTTTCCTCTTAGGCTGTATACTAGGTTTAATGGAAAGTAAATAATACTGTCATTGGCCCAAATATTATATACTCTGACACTAATTACCTCCGTGCATGGTGTGAAAACATGGTCCCTAGAGTAACCTTACCATAGTGGTGGAGGCATAGCAGACCTTGGCTTCTTGGTTAGATAAATGGAAGGACCTGAAATATATGATGTTGCTCTGACTTGAGAGCACCTTGTATATCTTTTCTCTGTTAGACCATACCTTGTGCTAAGTAAGGTTTAATTATGAGCGAGAAAAGGCCCAAAACATTTCAAAATAGAGGCAAGATTTGCTTCCCTACCCAATCTATTATTTCATTCCCTATACCTGTTTCACCTTACCTGTAACTGAGAAATTTAAAGCCCTGAAGGCAACATACGTGAAGACAAACAGAAGCCATCATGATTACAGAAGCATATATGCATGAGTTGAGTAAAGCTTATAGTTGCCATCATGTGGATTTTCTTGCATAAAACATACTTCTTTGAATTTCTAGGAGAAAATATGCATTTTATTTTTATCCTAGAGGTTGGTAAAGAACATTTGTCTGTTCCTATGTATATGTTTATTTTTTTTCTTTAGTAAAGACCATTGCCCATTGTTTTACCCCTTTTTATGAAACTTTACTGCTGTATTTCTATTTTGTTCCCCTTGCCTTGCCTCATTCATTAAGAAGAAGTAAAAAGGGAAAATTAGGAGGTTGAGCAAAGAAAATATTGATCATTAGAGGTTTTATGTAGCATTTTTTCACTGACAACAATTGATACAGAAAAAAAATAATAATAATGTATGGGTGATCCATGTAGCTAATAGTGGAAGTTCACAATGTTCATTCTTCCTTTCTCTTCTAGCAATGGCTCAGCAACATCAGAAGACCTTTTTTGGAAACTTGATGCACTGCAAATGTTTGTCTTTGATCTTCACTGGCCAGAACAAGAATTTGCCCATCACTTAGAGCAAAGACTTAAACTAATGGCCAGTGACATGATAGAGGCCTGTGTCAAAAGGTAGACATATATTTTCAAGTTGCTGCTTACTCTGCCAAGCACCCAAAATACCACATTTCACCAAGTACGTTTTAAATAACTATCACAAGAAAGGTTTCAATTTGTATAGCTTTTCCAAAATTTAAAGGACATTACATACTAATTTAAAGGACATTATGTACTTGGACCTAAACTCTAAGGATGAATGTACTTGATACAATTGGCCCACTACTTTTTTTCAGGTCTAACTATTGCCGTTGGGGCTTCCCAGGTTTCCCTGGTGATAAAGAACCTACCTGCTAATGCAGGAGACACCAGAGAAGTGGGTTCAATCCCTGGGTTGGGAAGATACCCTGGAGGAGGACATGCAACTCACTCCAGTATTTTTGCCTGGAAAATCCCATGAACAGAGGAACCTGGTGGGCTATAGTCCATGGAGTCACAAGGAGTTGGACACAACTTAGTGACTAAACAATAAGCCATTGCTCTCAGCCGTAGCACCCATACTCATATTAATCCTTTCTGTTGTGTTTATTGTTATCTCTGGGGATGCTGTGCTTTAAATCCCCAAGGCCATGCTTCCTGAGACATATGGAGAGATCTGTTCAGTACTTTATATATTACGTACTATGTTCACGTGCTGTGAAATGGCATGGCAGACTTCAGTGATGATCATTGCCATCAATTGTTCTGTTTTCTGGTATTCTCTGTCCGCATCAGATGAGTTCCAAGTGTCCATTTACATTCTTCAGAACTTAACCAGAAATAAGTTATGAGGCTTTGAATTCTTCCACATGCACTTTCATTTTATTTAATACTTTTTACAAAATCAGCTCTTCATCCTCATTAGCATTATTTTCCCCTGTTGCCTTTGTTCATGAGATATACAAGAGCAATGCAGGCAGCATATTGGAATAACAAATTCTGGTTGGAGCAACTAGATAATACTGAATTCTTCAAAACAAGAAAAATTATCTCTTTAAAATAATGTTTAATGGCTTTTTAAAACAAGGCCATGAATTAGATTATTTAATGTTTAAAAAACATCAGGTTTGGCATGTGTGATTCTAATGTATCAAATCTATGGATATCCTTTGGACAGTTTAGCAAAACCATTTCCAAATCATCTATTATGCAGTTTCTTTAAAAACAAAAAACAAAAAACCCTAAATGCAACTTCAGGTGTTTGAAAGAGAAACTAAGTGACATAGAATTATACATTCTGTGTTGCACATTGTGTGTTTTAGTTTTCGAAATTTGTCCTTTTTTTTTTTTTAATTTGGTAAACCCTAACACAGAGGATTTGTTCTGCTTTAATATACTACTTGGATACTCACTCAGACATCTAGTGTGTACTCTGAATGGAAAAACTTCACCGTTTCACTTAACTGTCTGAGTATCCAAGTAGTATCACAGTCTGATCTTTCATACAAGACACCTAAAAAGAAGAGCATCCCACCTCCCAGCTCCCAGGCAATGCCACACTCTGTATTTGCATGTTTTAAATTAGCATCTTGTAGTGTTAATTTCACTTTTACAAATCAGGGGGACATGTCAGATTTCTTACTCCGAATTCATGTTTTAATGAATAGAACAAGAACTGCATTTGAACTCAAGCTGCAAAAGGCAAGCAAAACCACTGACTTGCGCATCCCAGCTTCTATGTGCACGATGTTTAATGTGCTAGTTGATGCCAAAAAGCAAAGCACCAAGCTCTGTGCCCTGGATGGAGGACAGGAGGTAAGTGGATTGAATGTCGCATGTGGGAATGTAGAGTGCCCTGGCAAAGAAATACATGCTGTTTCCAGAAGTTTCTTACTTGCCTAGTTCCCCATACATGTGTTTGATCTTTTCTGTATTATAATAATGGAATGCCCCTTTATCCTTTGCTCTTATCAGATTCTTCTTTTTAATACAAAGACCGCCCCAAATTTTACAAGTTGCCATTGAATTTCAGATATACCTTTTAATGGCTTAGGTGTTGTGTATTTACATCAACCTTGCTTTTCACAAGCAAATGAGAAAGCTAGAAAGCTACTTGCTTTGTTTATACAAATATAGAGTATCCAGAGTTTGCATCCAAAAAACAGGCCACAGAAAATAGCCCATGAAATATTTTATTTACACAGAAATTTCCTTTTTTTTTTTTTTTAAGATCAAGTAGAAATATACTGGAAAATTGGTCTTTGCTTTTTTCAATGAATGCCCCATTGTTTCAATTTGATTTCTATTTTGTTTGGTTCTGTATTCAGAAATAGAGTTTAATTTACCCCATGATTTTATTTTTGTTGAGAGTGGTGATTGGGTGAAACGGATCTCTTTTTCTTAGATTATCTCTTTAAGTTAATATTTTGTTGCATCTTTGCCCATTGTAATTACTTTTTCATCATTTCTTTATTTTTCCCTTATGTTCTCCTTCATCGTGTTTTATTTTCCCTCATGGCATGGTCCAGTTTGATAGTCAGTGGGTAAGTTTCATTTAAAAAAAAACACACACATTTTCATTTGAATTATTATTCTTGTAAGTGTACCTTTTTTGTGTTCATCTTTTCAAATTAATATAATTCCATGTTCAGGTTTTCGGTTGGTGTGTATGTGTATAATACTACATTGCAATACCCAAAGATGCATTAAAACACATGTAAATACTTTCATCTTAAATAATGTCAAAGGGAATGTTTCTTCCCCGTTGAGCTGCAGAATTAACAGATGACTTTACAATTTTTTTAAGATAAAATTATTTAAAACCAAGTGAATTCACCCTTCTTTAAATTCTAAATAAATTCAGAAGCAGAGTGATTGTTAACATTTTTAAGATGCATATATATGTAGTGTATACTTTCACTAATAGTATTAAAAGAATTTAGATTTAGGGGCTATAGATGACAGATAGCATATATACAGGGTAACCTGTAAATTTGAGGACCAGGAGGCCACTCTTAAGGTGAGTCCATACAGAAGAACCCAGTTGTGAATTTCAGTGAGGGATATGCCCACTGTGATAACAGCCTTTCTCCTCATGGTCTGGGATAGCACCATCATCAGATTCAGGGAAGGGCAGGCCTGTGTCAGGCGCCTTTCCCCTTCCGCACACATGTTTTCTTGAGGTACCACCCCGAACCTTGGAGGAACATCACTGAAACCCTTTATACCTTACAGGATTGACTAGATTAAATAAATATTTTTTAATAAGTCAAATGCTTCTGTGCTCTATGGATATGTTAAATCTTACGAGTCTTAGAGTTGACACGTGGGAGTGAAACTCAGAACCAACTCTTCCCTGGGCTAACAACGCTAATCCAAGCAGAAGGACTTAGGTAACCCCAAGAGGATAAGAGGTTCCCCAGGTAACGAGTGGTAAAGAATCTGCCTGCCAGTGCCGGAGATGCAAGAGGCACGGGTTCAGTCCCTGGGTCATGAAGATCCCCTGAAGGAGGAAATGGCAACCTGCTCCAGTATTCTTTCCTGGGAAATTCCATGGACAGAGGAGCCTGGGCACAGTCCATGAGTCGGACACAGCTGAGCACACACACACAATACTATACAAAGAGGATAAGAAGGTCCACTGTTTTGAATGCCGTGCTTATTTAACCAAGAGACAGACATTAGCTATTTGGCCATGATTTGTGCACGTATCCACGTATTTCATTCTTTGAGCAATTCAGGGGGAAAAAGTGTATTTCTAATACCACAGCATACAACCTTACAGACTCAGTAAGGAGCTGAAACATGTTATGGAGTGTTCAGTTTTGTCATTCTCTGATCTCTTGAAACGTGATTTATTATCTCTAATTATTCGAATGAGTAGGCAGCTGGCTTGGCTATCAATGGCTCATAACCACCTTCTTGGTTTTCTATAGCCAGATGTAAACCTTTTATTGTCTGCTTGAGAACATTGTCTGTCTCTTTATACACATGTCCATTTTTCATCAGGTTTATGGAATCATCTTGCCTCTTCCATTAATACTGGATTTCTCCATTTGTTCTTGTTTTCACATATACTGCAGTACCTGACACACAGTAGATATAGTAAATATTTGTTGAATGAGCAGACTGATTTTTTGTCACTGCTTTAAAAATCTTACCCCCGTTAAAAAAATCCTGCCTCCCCCTGTAAGAAACAACTCACTCCAGTACTCTGAAAGAAAAGCAGGCACACACACAAATGACAAAACATTGTTGCATTGTCAAATGATTCTTTACATTAATAGGTGGATGATTTTGAAGAGTAATCTGCTGCTGCTGTTCATTATGTCTGCACCTGTACCTTCTCACCAGAGACAATTAGTTCCCCACAACTTTCACACAATTAATATACTTCAAAATGTGCAGGTGTAAAACCCATTAGCAACCCTGAAAAGTGGTAAACAAGAGTTTCCATGCACAAGAAGTATTTTATACTTTGCTTTTAATCTCCAGGAAATATATACATGTAATTGCACAGGCTTTTCCTCTCTGTACGTGTTTAAGACAAGTTTGAGGATGATTGCAAAGTGACGAATACATTACATGCGTAGGTAAGCCCATGCATAGGACCCCATTGTATAGCAAGCAACAAATTAAAGTTGTTGAAAAAACTACATTATTACACAGTTTGGAAACTTGTAAAGATATATAGTATACTATGTAGATAAACGTAGGAAATTTTATTTTTTCTAGATTTAAGGGAATTACCTCTGCACAATCTCTAGTAAATTTATTATATCATCATTGCTGGGACAAAAACTTACCAACTCCTTACCCACAGTGAAGCCCCTTCTGGACTCCTGAATTATGATTCTGTTTTCTTACGTGGCATACGATGATGCAGACACTCTCAGCCACAGCCCGGAAAAGCATTTAATAGAGTAATTAGTGAGCGAATGATCTGCTCTTATGACAGCTGTGTGTAATGAGTCAGCAATCTCAGGCCAGGCCCTCAGGGACAGATATGGAGATCCGAAAACCACCAGTGCTAAGAAATCCTCGTTATCCATCCCTACAAAAGAACAGATGACTGCATGGGCCTTCAGCTGTCATATGCTCTCAGAACTACTGTATTTCATGGTCCATCCATTGAAAGTGAGAACACATTAATGGAGCAACTCAGGGCCCCCTACTTACGTGGGATTTGTTTTCAATTGCAGTAAAAATACTTCCATTTCCAGAACTAACAATCCATTACCTTTAAAATCATCCCAGCAGAAGGACCAAAATTTTTAAATGCTGGATTACACAGGCATTTGGCTAGTCTTCATTTCTTACATGTCTGCATGAGAAGAGTCAGGTGAGATGAAGATATTTACCCATGTGTAAGGGAGCCAGAAAATGGCAACCCACTCCAGTATTTGTGCCTGGAGAATCCCATGGACAGAGGAGCCTGGTGGGCTACAGTCCACGGGCTCACAAAGAGTTGGACACGACTGAGCAACTTCATTTTCACTTTCTTTCAAGGGAGCCAGGACTTCAGACCCATACCTGATCTGAATTCCCTGGGCTCCATGAAGTAAAAATTCCTTAGTATTCAGTCCAGTCGCTCAGTCGTGTCCGACTCTCTGCAACCCCATGGACTGCAGCACACTAGGCTTCCCAGTCTATCACCACCTCCCGGAGCTTACTCAAACTTATGTCCAACTAGTTGGTGATGCCATCCAGCCATCTCATCCTCTGCCGTCCCCTTCTCTGCCCACCTTCAATCTTTCCCAGCATCAGGGTCTTTTCCAATGAGTCAGTTCTTCACATCAGATGGCCAAAATATTGGAACTTCAGCATCAGTCCTTCCAATGAATATTCAGAACTGATTTAATTTAGGATTGACTGGTTTGATCTTGCAGCCCAAGGGACTCTCAAGAGTCCTCTCTAACACCACAATTCAAAAGCATCAATTCTTCAACACTCAGCTTTCTTTATAGTCCAACTCTCACATTCATCCATGACTACTAGAAAAACCATAGCTTTGACTAGATGGACCTTTGTCGGCAAAGTAATGTCTATGCTTCTTAATATGCTGTCTACGTTGGTCATAGCTTTTCTTCCAAGGAGCAAGCTTCTTTTAATTTCATGGCTGCAGTCACCATCAAAGTTCATCTTAATCCAAGTGCAGAGTCACCTAATGGAGAAGCAGGGCACTGACAGTTTACTTTTGAGGTCAGTTGTGGAAAGAATTCGTCTAAGAATGATCTAGAAAGTACCAGTTCGTAGAAATCATTGATCCAATTTGAAATATTCTGATAGAAATTTTATAGGCTTTTACTGTTGCAGACAAAAACTTGGCAGGTTTTGAACAAAAATTTGGTCTGCTAATCAAAATGAAAAGCTATCAACTTTAGCTTAGGAAATGTCCATGTTTCCAGATAAATTCTGTTCATACCTGTTTTGCTCTCCTTGTGTGTTTATTTTTGTCTTTGGAAATTATCTGGATCCCCTAATGAATAGCTTTTTTCGAGCTAACTTTCTGTTACCTGTATGTGGCATTTCTGGGTTATTCCCTTTGCAGAGTGTGTATGTAAAATGTGAATTCTGCAGCCACCTCCACATTTCCACTCACAGTGCCCCTAGACCACATCTGCTACCTGTGCAGCTGGAACAGCCTCTGGACGTTCCCAGCTGCTTTCAGATTTAGTATTAGTGGAAATCAGAGCTGATCAGATAAATTGACAGTAGCAAACTACTGCCCAGTCACTCGGTCATGGCCAACTCTTTGCAGCCCCACTGATTGTAGACCCGCCAGGCTCTTCTGTCCATGGACTTTTCCAGTCAAGAATATTGGAGTGAGTTCCCATTTCCTACTCCAGGGGATCTTCCCAACCCAGGGAATGAACCCACGTCTCTTGTGTCTCCTGCATCAGCAGGCAGGTTCTTTACCATTAGCACCACCAAAATCTCATATTAAAAAGAAAACAACCTAGCAACCATTATACTATTTAGGTTTGCCTCCTGGGTAACACATTTAAAATGTATACTTTTCTTTTTTCCCCTCTTTTTAAATTATACACTTTTTAAATCAGAGTATAATTGCCTTACAATATTATATCAGTTTTAGGTGTACAGCAGTGCCAATCAGCTCTAAGTATACATATGTACCCTTCCTCTTGAGCCTCCCTCCCACCCCGTTTCTTCATTTTTAACTTGATCTCTTTTCCTCCCTCTGCTTTTGGCTAAATTAAACATGAAAGAAAACAGCAGTCTAAGGGTGTGTATTATAGGAGAATTGGATGGCTCCTAGAGCCTGCTTTTCCCTGCCTTTCAATAAAAAAGGATATAAAAAGACCTCCTTAGCGGCTCATCTTTTGATTTTAAGAAATTGCCAAAAATCAGTGCAACCCAAAGGTCAACTGTGTAGAAGCTCTGCTGTTCTATATGCAATAGCTTTCTGATGCCGTTTCATTATTTTTTTAGTTAAAAATGAAATTTCTGGCAAAGAGAGATAAACATTGAGGGTAAGGCATACTCAAGAAGATGAAACTTTGAAGCTTCAAGTGACTCTGAATGTTCTGTAGCACTTTCCCTGTAAAGTAAGGAGAGAAGCTTGAAGCCAGTCTCCTGTATCCCTTTCCTCTTCTACCCCAAAGAGAAGCCTCAGTCTGCTATTTTTATTTCCTCCTGCTACACAGCCGCAAATCTGGAGAGAGAGGGATGTGAAAAGAGAGTGTGTGGAGGGGGAGCCTGTAGAGCTCATTTGCATAAGCTCCGCCCCTGCCTGGTCAGCAGAAGTTTCAGCTAGGAGGAGGGGGTTGGGAGGAGAGGGAAATGATGTTTTTTACCTGTGCATCTGGGGTCTTCTTGGTCATCTCAACTACTGGCCAGGTTTTTCAACCTCTTCCTCTTCTACCTTGCTTTTCTTTGTTTTATGGTTTTGTTTTTCCTTTCCCTTCTCTTCAAGCTGTTCTGAAAGCAAAAAAAAAACTACAGCAGTAGGAATTCACCCTCTAGGTTTCCCTTCTGTTTGTCCTTTGGGGAGTACAAATTTGGGGATCAGTAAGCCTTTAGGTGAGACAGGCACTTAGTATGTTATTTCCCTGAGTGATAAATACATGCCTAGAAAGTTCCCTCTTCGTATATATGTGCTTAACTTAAGACCACTTGTCAACACACACACATACACACAGGCATACACAACACACACAAGCAGGAAAAGAAAATAATTCCCATGTTCCAAAATTCTGCCTCCTTTCTTCATTATTTATGCAGGTAGATGATGTCTTGTCTCTTTGAAAGCCTGCGGGGGGACCTATTCCTGCGTGTTCCAGAACAGACCTAAGTTGATGTTTTGTTCTGTGTGGAAACTTTGAGACATGTTTTCAGAAGGAAAAATAGCTTTCAAAAACTCACATCTTTGGAAGCCATTCAACCAGCAGCTGTTAAGTTGGTCTAATGTTTATACTGACCTGAGTACTTTTACTCCATGCATTATGTTAGCTGTTCCAAGAAGCCTTGAACCATCAAGATAGGGTTAGTCTTTACAAGTCACATTTTCTGTGAAGTGGCTATTGCGGACAATCAGCCGTCAGATAAATGCTTCTAAAGGAAGAATTACTGTTTCAATGAATGTGCCTTCACACACCGCCAAAGCCGAAGCTCCTGCTAATTTAAGAAGAGAACTCTCTAGTAGTCTCTAAAGAAAGCAAAAAATAAAGAGTCTTTCAGGTTTATTTTAAATACATCTTTTTTTTGCATTTACTTAAAGGCGTCATTTTCATGAGGAAGCAGTAAAAAAGCTATGGGGAGTGAGTGCCGTTTCATTGTACCTTTTATGGCCTATTAATTTGTTACCATCTATCACCTTTGTTGATGAAATTTTAATTTTGCCCTTGCTTGAGCATATTGTAAGAATTGTATAAACTGCAGCTCCCCATGCTGACAAAAAGGTCCTTTCAGCGAGAACAATTGGGAGCTCATTTTATTTCTAGAGCACATTTAAAATAACTTATGAATGAGAGTTGTCAGACATGAAATGCTGTATTAATTAAATCTTTTTCCAGTCTTTTTGCTTCTCCGGCTAAACCAACCCTTTAGAAAAATAGTCGGCCACCTTAATTATAGAGGAGAAGACAAAAAGTATCCTTCACATTCCTCTGTCTGAATAAGAATAAGAACTCATTTCATCTGTATAATAACCCCATTAGCTGCTTAACTCAACAGAGCACATGGGAAAATTTTCAAAACCCACAATGTAAGAAGTGTTGATGGGTGGATCATTTTCAAGGTTTTGTTCTTCTAAGGTGCAAAATGGTCATTTTGTGTAAATCTGATATGTCATAACTAGTAGCTTTAAGGCATTTATGCGTAATGACATAAATAAGTTTTGTGTCCACTCCAACTAATGCATCTTTGTCTTTTAATATCTAGCAGCAGTACCATTCCAAAATAGATGATTTGATTGACAACACTGTAAAAGAAATCATTTCACTCCTAGTTTCAAAGGTAAGGTATTCTTTATATAATTTTCAACTGTGAATTTTTAAAACTGTATGTCTTAGCTTTTGAAATACCTGATTGAGAAATAGTAACTTTAAGGTAGATGTGAAAAAGTTCGTATTTTAAGAAAAGTTAAGATCAAATTATGAACACTCTTTGTCAGTAACTTTTGGGTTTTTGTTTGATTAATTTTGGCTTTTTTTTTTTTCAGTTGTCCTAAAAATAACTCTCTTGTCCAGTAACACCTGACCCTTTCACACTCACATTCTCTTACTGTTTGTCTCTAAGGATGAGTTGAGTGGCCATCAGTTCTTGGAATTAGCTTGTTGGTTGTGGTGGCAGCTCTGGGACTCTAGAACTGGTCTCACAGGTGGACAGAGAGGTTGACAGGGTGATGTCTGAGGTTCTCCACTCTCAGAGGCCTCCCACGATTTCCTGTATGAGGTTTCAGATATCTTTGACGAAAGCTATTACCTTGAGTTGTATAAATAGAGATGAAGCATCAATGAGTGTTCCATTTAAAATTCCACTAAGGGTTTCCCTGGTGGCTCAGATGGTAAAGAATCTGCCTGCAGTACGGGAGACCTGGGTTCAAACACTGGGTCAGGAAGATCCCGGGGAGAAGTGAATGGCAACCCACTCCAGTATTCTTGCCTGGAGAATCCTCGTGGGCAGAGGAGTCTGGTGGGCTGCAGTCCATGGGGTCGCAAAGAGTCGGACACGACTGAGCGACTAGCACTTGCATTAAGGTGGAACAGGCTGCCATAGCTGACGTTTGAGATCAGGGTCTGATAGGGAAAGAGATGGACAGCCTGAGAGCCTGGGGAGCTGAAAGAGCGAGGACAGAGGATGCATGGGTCCCTGAGAGGCACTTTGATAAGAACAGATACTTGATTGAAGAACCCCAGATCAGACTTCATAAAACAATTAGAAGTATATACAGAATGCAAAAGAATAAAAAAATACAAAGGAAAAGCCACCTTCGATTCAGTAAACAGACATAGGACATGTTGTTTATTTTTTTCAAGGTCTTTATTGAGTTTGCTACAATATTGCTTCTGTTCTATGTTTTGGTTTTTTAGCCACAAGGCATGTGGGTTCTTAGTTCCCCAAGGAGGGATCAAATTCACACTTCCTGCATTGGAAGGCAAACTTCACCACTGGACCACCAGGGAAGTCCCCATGTACATGTTGCTTAGAAAAGAAAAGATAGAGATGCCCAATAAGCATGAAAAATGTTAAGCCTCATTAATTTAAACCATACCAAAAACTAAAAGTTACATAATATTTTCTTCTAGAAGTTAGCACAGATGTTCTTAAGCTATCACTGGATTTTAGAAAAGGTCAAATGGGACACTCACATTTTCTGTATATGGAGGTATAAATGGCGCCAATCTTTCTAGAACATAGTTTAGAACTCTGTTGTGTACATTGATACCCATTCACCTAAAATCCTTTTTGTATTTTTTTCTTACTACCTAGAGAGATGCACAAAATTTATATGCATTAATAGTTGTCACATTATTTCAAATTAAAAACTGACATCAACTTTAATCTCTAACATGAGATCAGTGGTAAATTATAGGACATCTATATTAAGAAAGTTTGCTTTCAAAGACTATAATATTAAAGTTTCATAATATAGTGTTAAGTGGGAAAAAAGCTGAATATTTAGAAGTGGAAACTATGATCTGAATTGTTATCATGTACAGAAAAGACAGATAAACATCAGAATGTCTACAGAGCTTTTATCTGGGTGGTGGGATTATAGTTAATTTGCAGGTAGGGAGGATTTCTTAGAATTTATTCTGTGTGTTTTCCAAATTCTCTGGTAGCAGGTACTCAGGTGGGAAAAAGTCACACAAAAAAATGATTTTAGAATAACACCACCTCCCATTTGTTCTTGCTCTGCTGGCTTCCACCCCAGAACTGAACACCCACACTTACAACACACACTCACCAACACAGGCAAAGGAGAAGGGTTAACAGGAAAAGCTTCTGGCAGGTGGGGGAGGAGGTGAACCGCAGGAGAATGACGCTTCTAGAAGAAGAACCAGGAGGTTCCTGCCCTCCCAGGAGTCCAGCCAGCCCGTCGCTTTTAGCAGCAGTGTACCACCAGCACGCCAGAGGGACACAGTTAACAGAGCACCTTCGTTGTCTGTGAGCTATCCAGGGAAGTTTTATTCAGGTGGAGCTTCACTATCAGCACAATTCCCTGTGGAAGTTGTCTTTCGTGAGAATGAGACATAAACGGAGCTACTGAAGTGCAAGGGCTTCCCTGGTGGCTCAGAGGATAAAGAATCCGCCAGATCCCCTGGGGAAGGAACCGTCCACCCACTCCAGTATTCTTAACTGGAGAATTCCATAGACAAAGGCGCCTGGCCGCCTATAGTGCATGGGGTCGCAAAGAGTCAGACACGACTGAGTGACTAACACTTTCACTTTACTTTTTTTCATGCAGTTCATAGGGCTTACCAGGTGGCCTAGTGGTAAAGAATCTGCCTGCCAGTGCAGGAGACATGGGTTCGATCCCTGAGTCAGGAAGATCCCCTGGAGGAGGAAATGGCAACCCACTCCAGTACTCTTGCCTGGAGATTACCGTAGACAGAGGAACTTGGCATGCAGCAGCCCATGAGGTCACAAAGAGTCAGGCATGACCGAGCATGCACTCACACACATGCAGTTCATAAAGGCTTAAATAGGCAACAAGACAAAAAGACTGTAATTAGTTTTGGTTGGGGGGAGGAGGGGAGGAGGGAGTGTAGAAAAGGTAGGCAGGGCTGCACATCATCTCTGCATTTGTTTCTGGCAAAGTAAGAAATGTAAATTTTTCTATATCAAATGCATTTGGATAATGACAAAACTGGTATATTTGAGTCAGGAAATGGTGTTCCAGAAATCAGCACCATCCACTAGAACTGTCTGTGATGATACAAATGTTTATCCCGATCATCCAGTGTGGTAACATGCGGCTGTACAGCACTTGAGACGTGGCTAGTGCAACTAAGGATTTGAAATTTTCATTCTAACTCATTTTAAATAGCCTATTGAAACTAGCTATTAATATTATATTTAGTAATCAAGTCTAGATTGTAGCTATTCTCTATGGATCCTTTCTCCTACAGTCAAATAGCACTTTTAAATAATCTTTAGTTTAAAAGTATAAAGTAAATTCATTTGGTGGTTTGGGTCACCATCTTAATTATAAATGCTATTTGCACAAAGATGACAATAAATAGTAAATTTTATATCATTAAGCAAAGATAAATTATGACAATTCTGTTATACAATCCTTAAATGCTAGCATGCCAAAAAATTGCCTGAGAGCTTTTTAAAATGCAGATGCCCAAGCCCTGCTTTCCAGAAGTTTTGGAAGCAGGACAGGAATGTGCATGTTTAGCCACTCATCATGGTGATTTTGATGTAGGGGTTCCTGAGTCAGACTTTGAGAACCACTGCTCTGATGACCCTGCACCTAGATGGCTATATAAACTACCTTAAGACTAAACTATATTTAAAAATAAGACAACCCCTAAGATAGTGTGTTCCCATTTGTTTTCACCAAAGAAGAAATTATTTTTTTAAGAGAGATATTTATGAATTACCGACTGAGAAAGAGTGACTATACATGTGTTACTTAATTCAAACTGCATACATAGCACCTAGAAAATAGGTGGGCTTACCCTATTTCACAGATAGGAATCTATTCTGCAAACCAGCAGAGTGAACTAACCCAGAGTCACACACCTAATAAGTGCAAGTGTCGAGATTCAAAGCTTTAAGTTTCAGCTTCCCAATCCAATGTGCTTGCTGATTTCAGATCTCCAGGAAATCAGTAAAAAGCAAAAGACTGTGAAAATTAAAATATGTAACTTCTACATTGATGATCATTATGAATGGCAAATTCTAAGAGATTTGTCCTAGACTTTTTATACCATATTAATTATTTCAATATTATATTAATTCAATATAAAGTAGATTAATAAAATAGTGAATTCCTTGAATCCCAAGTGTTTCTTTCCATACTTTTAAGTTGTCGTGCATATTGAGAAATATGTTTATTACATATGGATGAATAAAAAATAACACATCCTTCTTTTTAATCTCTTCAATTCTACTTCTGCATCCTCTTCTTATCCACATGTCTTCACAAATATTTTAAGATGATCCAGGGCTGTTAATCACATATAACACTCAGCAGCGTTTGTCCCACCTACACACCCATTTTTCACACCTGGAAAAGATCTCAGCTTTCTATCCTGTGTTCTCTCTACCTAGCTGCTAAATGGTGGTATTCTTGACTTTCCATCTATGCTCTTCTTTGAACTCATTCCATACATTTCTGTGACTTTCACACTTCCAGTTTAACTGTATGTTGATGGTTCCCTTAGCATATAGGGAAACTCCTCTCCCTGAGAGGTAGTATGTAATCTTGCTGCAAAGCGCAGCTCCAGGCCTGAGGAGTTTAATGCGTTCATCCTAAGAGCAAGGAGAAGTCATTGAAGAGTTGGTGTGGCAGAGAGCGGCAGGAGGGAATTAATCATGTTTATCTGCGTTATAAGATGATTCGTTTGACTGTACACAGCAAGCAGATTGAGGGGGAGTAGGAAGGAGGCTGTAACATTGGTCTCTGTTGGACTAATCCAAAGACATTTAAGATATACAATGGGCAGGATGCTAAAGACTGAATGTCTGTGTTCTCCCACAATTCATATATTAAAACCTAATCCTTAGTGTGGTGATATTTGGAGGTGGTACACTTGGGAGGTAATAAGGTCATGAGGTTAAAGCCCTCATAAATGGGATTAGTGTCCGTATATAAAACACCCCACAAAGCTCCCTAGTCCCTTCTGCCAGGTGAAAACAAGCCAAAAGATATCATCTGTGAACAATGAAGTGGGTCCTCATCAAGCATTGAATCTGCTAGCACCTTGATTGTGGCCTGCTCAGCCTCCAATTCAGTTGCTCAGTCATGTCTGACTCTTTGCAATCCCATGGACTGTAGC